TGCCCTGTTGCAAGTGCAACATTCTCATGCCTCACAATACTTGACAGCAGCCATGCTCAGCCTTTCTGAGGGAATAGGCCAAGGGGTCCCCATTGAAGGAGCTGATTGCTCTGCGTACCTCCGTCAGTCTCGACCTAACACAAATACATGCGCCTGTCGCGTGTCCAGGTGTGTGTCCACCTTGTCATGGCTTCATGGGAAGGGGGTGGCTAGGAGTAGTCTGCAAGCTGCCAGAGCAAGTCACCAGCTTTATCAGCTGCTTCCAGATGACAGCACTTTTGGGTAAGAGGGCAGCAGAGAGTGAGTCACAGGCTTAATGAAGTGGCCTGGGACGTCATCTTCCTCTTTGAGATACATGAAATTAAAAGAATGATTGGTCAAGTAAGTTAAATCAAAGGGAAATCCTCTCAAAATCACTCTTCCAACCATTATTTGTTATAAACATCTTTGGCACTAATTTTGAAAATTGTTGATCATCTCCTAAGAGTTGCGCTGTCCTTCTCCAGCAGCAAGTGGCCAGTACAGTATCACCCATAATGACACTGTCATTGTCACCGTTAGTGTTGTGGGCCAGGTGGAGAACACGTACGGCAGAGGAGCGATAAAGAGGAAAGTTCACTCTTGTGAAGGTGCAGTGAGCAGGAGGCTATGCTTCTGGGAGTGGAAACATCAGGCTGTGTGTCCCCACGCATGACTTGCTGTGACAGATCTCCTGCAGTAACCTTCACTGAAGACAGCGCTCACAGGTAGCAGGAGCGTGCCTGTACAAATAACGTTTCGCTTCCCTCCCTAGCTATTGCAGATGACCCCAGCACTCTTCAGCTCCTCTTCATCCACTTGCCCCAACTTTCAGCAGCTGGCCGCCGTGGCTCGCACGGTCAGAAGCATTCCTCCCCGTGAGCACGGCTCTCCCGCACGCGGGAACATGACGAGACCCAAAGGCAGCTGCCGTGCAAGTTTACTCCCAATCCGGCAGCGGTATAGTCACATTGGTGTGGCATTCACCTCCCCTAGTTAGTCCCTCCGGGGTGAGTTTTTCCTAATTATGTCTCTGTAATTATTTCCTCCTCTGGTGTGGCAGGAGGGAGGCACGCGCTGCCCCACACGAGTTGTGCATTAAATTCTGCCACCGTGTGCCTGGAGCTTGTGGAAAGCCCAGAACGGGAGGGAGAGGGAGGGCAGGAAAAGGACCCGAAGGTGTGTTCCTTCAACACCTCCTGCTTGACACTTGAGCCCTCGTTTTACGATGGTCAAGTGTCACAGGGGACCAAGTTACAGGGTGAATCAAACTCTATATTTAGGAAGAACAACTGGAAGCTATGACAGGAATTCCCTTTTACACTTCGCTTCTCAGCCGAGTCCCGCTCCAGCCTGGAGCAGCTCTCAGTGCCATCCGGGCTGAAAGCATCGGAGCTATTTCAGACACATTAAAAGGATCCCAGTCAATACCTCAGCTGGTAGAAGAAGGTACCTCTTTCAGCATCCAAAGGAGGTACATGTACTCACTTGACGGTTTGGAGCTTTTCTTATATAAGTAAATAAGCTAATTTTGAATGGGTCAATTAAAAACTTGTAAGATCCTTATGAAAACTCTTTAATAACTGCTGTGATGTGACTACAATAGTTGTGGGTTTCTGCTTATTTTAATGTCTCGTGCAGCGTATCAGCATATTCAGAGCAGATTGTTACGGTTATTGCTTCATAGTCTGCGGGGATCTTTAAAGACTTAAAACAGAAAGTCACTTAAATACCTAGTGACTCAGAAGAAGCCTAACTGTGTATTAGCTCGAATACTGTAGGTACATAGGTACGTGCTTATTGTTGTCTATATGTTCGTTTTAGCTAGTGGAATATCACATGGAGGTGTTGACGGTAAGAGAGACGCGCTTTCGCTCTAAGCTTCACAGGTAACCGTGGCAGAGACAACAGCCAGCATTACAAAAAATGTGATCGCATTTGCCTTGAGCCCGTAGTAAGTTTTTGTGTAACAGACTGGAAGCTGCAAAGTGGGGGTTTCTCTCCTTTCTTTGTATTAGCTGGGTCTCACAGTAGTGCCATTTCTGCCAAAGCCTTTTAGTAAGATAAGACACTGCAGTTCTGTGTCCGAAATACCCGTTGTGCTTGATGCCGTGGGTGCGGCGGGGGGGGAAAGGACAGCTTCCAGCTGGGGCAGGGGGAGGGCTCTTTTCTGCTCTCTGTGTGTCACTGTACATCTCTTGTGCGGATTACAAAAGATGGTATTATGATATCTCATCGTATTTAAAGCAAATTGAATAAGTCAGCTTATTATCTTGCTGCAGCACTGTCAGAAACTATTTTTAGCAGACGGGCAGAAGACAGGTCCTTTGTTTTTCAAAGGTTCTTTCAAAAAACACTGAATTATTTCACTGTAGTAGTCCCCTATTTCACAAGTAGATCTGGTCACGGGTACTTTCACTGCAAAGCAAGAGAATTTACAGAAGTCTGGCACAACACAGTTCCAAACTGAACTAACGTTGCCGTTGCTGCCTAAGTTTGGCTCAGCATGCAGCCCATAAAAGGTAAAAGGTAAGGTGCGGGGAGGCCAAAAAGACACCAGGGAATGCAGGCTGCGTGCATCTGTGTTTCTCTGGCTGCATACATGTGATATCCTGCTGTGGAAATGAGGGTGAAGAGAGATTTTTTCAAGTTTGCGGAGCTGATTGAAATGCCAGAAATAACAATACAATCAGTGTAGCACTCTTGACTGTCTCTGAGACGCGTGGCGAAAGAACAAAGGAATTTATTAAAAAATGGACTAATCACTTCAGTACGAGATGCATCTGTAACCTAAGGTTTATTTTCCTGTGGTTGATGGTCAGTATTGCTCCGGAGGGAAAGTCAGGGAGGGGAGGGAAGGGGTGAGATCCAGAGAAGATTGACTATTTTTACTCAGTAGCATGCTGTTGTCCTGATTTCTCTGGCGGTAATGAGGACAGCACGAACTGGTAGGAAAATCACCTCCTCCAAAAGCAGTCCTACACAATTGTATCATGCATCCATCTTTAGGAACCGGTGTCTGATTGCAATCATTTTGAACTCAAGACTTCGTGTGAGCCCAGAACACCTCACTGAGTAGCACTATTGCTGTGCTTGTTCGGAAGTCCAGGCACAGTATAAATTCTTGCCCGTTCAGCTTCTTGGTGGCCCAAGAAGTGTGTATCGGTGTCTTTGCAATGCACAGGCAGGCAAAATGAAGGAGTACATCTTCGCTTGAATTTCTTTGTTAGAGTGTTTACAAAGTAGACCCATGGTATTTTAAAATGTTTTATGTTAATTTCCTGTGCTTTTGTTTCCATTTGTCATTCTGATTACAAAGAGGAGAAGATGTTAAGCAAAATTAATTAAACTTTTCTGTATTACGCATCTTATCTTTCCAATAAACTGGGGAATTATTTTGTATTTATCTTTGGATAACCACTGGTTAACAGCACAGTTATTTCTGTGCATAGTAACTATTTTCAAAAAGAAAAAGACAGTGCAGTAAATCCTTGTGGCTTTTCGAAACCTGTGCATATTATGTCATGAACTTCAACTCACTGGAAGCATGCTAGTTTTATTTTTATGGTGGGATTTTTTTTTTTCTAATTGATTAATTAAGCAGAAGCAATTTAAATCCACAGCAGTCTATGAGAACAACATCCTCTGATGTGTTGGTTTGGACAGCACTCTCTACAGCTGCGAGCGCGATCGGTGAGAGACCTCTAATGGCAGGTCATTTTTTCTTTAAGCTCTGGTCAGCATTATACACAGATTTAAAGTTAATGTGACAATATGCAAGAGCAAGTCTTCCATGCTGCCCCAGAGATACAATTTTGGGCTGATATTCCAGGCTGAAGCCAACATACAACTGACCTATACTTTCCTTTGGTATCACCTCCACGTGACAGTTATATTCTTTGGAGTACCAAAGCCTTTGACCCAATTTTGATTTCTTGGCATATTTCTACTATTCTCTCCTATGTAATGTATTACTTTCCTCAGTATTTTCCTTCTCATCTCAGGTTAAATATAGTAGCCAAAATATGCTGTAGTTTGGTTGTGGTCAACGATTTCTCTGGTGAACTCATTTCTCACCTTTTAGAATTACTATCTTATTTTGTATTATAATGGTAGAATAACCAGCCTTTGATGGAAGTCTAGACCAGTTAAAATCTTAATTCTCAGCGAAATAATAAAAGGCTAAAATGATGTTTCAATTAATCTGATAATAAAATTTCTTGCCTTTTTTTTTTAACCTTTACAAAATATTTTGACTTTGGTGTATTTCCCTTTGTTATTGTATATTAATAATATATCAGTCCATATTTCTCCACCTGCATAAAATTATATGGAAAACTCTGTTCTTTTTTATTTTATTGCTAAAGAAAATTGACTAATCTATATGATCTAAAACTTTGAAGAGAGGCTACTTTGTGCCCTCCTGGTTGTCAAAAAGAACTTTACAGTTTGACCATCTCGATAATTTTCAGCCTATAGGTGTTAGAGATTCTTAAGGGTTTCTGGGTCAGAAAATGGTTATGTCTGCATTTACAAATGTTTTGTAACAAGTTACACTTCATTTGAAGGAAGGCTTAAGCTGAGAGTTCTAATAATTGCCATGTACATACTGTGACAGAGATAGTCATATATGGTTTACCCTCTAATGTTTCCCTTAATACTTACTCATTTTACAATGACGTTAAGGTTTAAGTGATTCCTTATCTCTACTCATTATTGTTTTTAATATGAAAGAGGGGGGTCCATTTGTGGCTATGAAAGATTAATAGAAGAAGCTCAGGTGTTCTGTCTCCTTCTGCTATTCAGAAGACATAACTAAGCAACTCTGAAACTGAGACGGAAACAGGAGCTGGGCGGATGAAATGGATGCCGGTCAAGAGGCAGCATGGGTTAAGTTCTAGCTTATCTCCCTTAGCTATCAGAATGTTAGAGCCTGTAACACTTTCCCATTTTGCTTGCAGGGATAAGCCTCTGTCTTAAAAATGTCAAAACAGCCAGCGTCACATGTCAAAGCCATTCAGGTAAGAGACAGTATTAATGTTTCAAATATAATAAAATAATAAATCTCAACCTCCATTGCTTGGAAAACTGGATTTTCAGTCAGACAAAACACCACAGAAATGCTAACTGGGATTATTCCTTTAAATTGAAAGCCTTGGTAGATAAGAAAACACTGAAAAAATTTGATCTGAAGAGCATTATGAGCTGAGCTGATAAAAAGCTGGGTGAGATAGGTTGGTTGATCGCTTGCTTGCATGGTCTTTCCAGTGTTAGGTTATGCCTGTTTGTGGATCAGCTAAGTAAAACACAGTGATATGACAGCATAACTGATCAGGATTATGAATAAAACTAAATCTTGTAGCTATTAGATTTTCCACAGAGTTAATATAATGCTAGAAGAATTACAGGCTAAAAGGATGACATAGGTGAAGTTTTTCATGTCTGCATTCCTTTAGGAAAAAACTCCATAACTTCCAATATTTGTTTAAGAATCATTTTATTTAAAAGCCAAAATAAAGTGAGAGATGTTGATGTTTTAATTTAAAAATCTTTTGTATGTCACTTACCTCCTCAAATAGCACATGTTCATAACGAAGAAGTTGGTTGTTACATGCATGTGAAACAAACAGCTGGAGAATTATCCCAACATCATCATGAATTACCATCATGAAGAATACACTTAGCTCATGCCATTATTGATTCTAATAAAAGGGCCAGAATATCTCCTGAGCTGCAGAGTTTTACAGAATTTTCATGTATTTTGTAAAATGCACTTGCAATGAAATTTTACCATTATTTCAGGTCCCCTGGATATTGCATAAGAAAGAGAAAGTGGAATTTCTTAAGTTTGACTGTCCTCTGTTTCCCCAAAGTAATATTAACTCAATGGATTGGAGTATCAAGAACATGAATTACCCACTGGCTAGACAGCATACTCAAGTTGCAAGGCACTGTAAAAATGCTAAATTCCTTTTATTATAATCAACTCTACTGGAACAGGCATGCAACTACTGTACCCTAATTCAGTTGAAATGAGCAGAAGTTTGGCATAGATTTCACTCAGTTCAAATTTTTATCTTTTACAATGACTATGGAAATGTTTGTATGCCTAATGAAAAATGTAGGTAATTTATAGCTCAATAGCATTTACACTTTACATTTAAACTCCATAGCCACATACAGACCTTTTAAAGGAATGGGTTAGTTTTTCTTTTTTCCTTAAAGAAGTATTTACAGGTTCCTTTTTTTTTTTTTTAATGATGACTTTCCAACTTCTAAATGTAAAAAATTCCTTCTACTTTGTCCATTTAAAAAGTTCATTAAGTTTAAGCACCAAGTTTAATACTTTAAGAAACTTTAATTTTTGCGAAGGTAATTTGAATCCTGAGAAAAATTACAGCACCAACTTTGAAATAACTCTATTAAATATTGTGTCAAAGGTTGCACCAGCAGGGAGACTTGCACTTGAATTGTTGTCTATTACTCTTCGAGTGCTCTAAGAACCATGAAAATGTCACATTACATTTATACATTGTGATTCATGTATTATGATGCTTTGCTATTATGTGTTATAGTAGGACCGACATCCCCTGGAGAATATACATCGTGCTGCAGCGATGGAAATGTAGTGGCACTTTACTAACTGAAGCTGCTTCTTTCTGGCCATATGACATGTACACTAAAATCTTCACTTACCAACAGCCACTAAATACAGATGAGGGAAAGCTAAAGGTGGAAGCTGGTTCCCAAGAGTATTTTGGAGCAACAGAGGACCAAAGTGGTTTCCAAAAGTAGTTGGGGGTGATAGAGGACAAAAATAATATTAATTCCTGGTAATATTCATTGCTGGCCTCCCCTTCTCAGTGTGTAAAAGGCTGTGTGTAGCTCTAGCTGATAAGCGTTCTACCTACAGACACCAGTCTTGGCTTTCCTCAGAAGTAAAGGTGAGGGGTTTCTTTTTTCTTTTTTTCTGAATTACATTCAGTTTTCTCTGTTATTTCTTTTTTCTTTTTTTTTTTCTTCCCTAATTTGAATATGTTTATATTGAAGGCTTTCCAGATTATCAGTCATCCTTCTGGACAACTAGGAATGACTGTGATGTTGTGGAGAACTTACCCCTAATAATCCTCAACTCATGCAGGGCTGCCAGTGATTCAAGAGCCAACAGTTCCAGATCTGGATGCCCTGTCTCTAGTAAACAGAAAGGAGGACACAAACACACCTCTAAATACCAGTTCAATTGAGTCAAAACAGCAATATGTGTTGTATGTCATGCTTACAGATATTTTTCCTTCAGTCTGTTCAGGAGTAGCTTACTCCAGTACACCAGTGTACATACGTACCTACTGATTATGAAAACTGCAGTGACATCCAGAATGTGGTAGGCCCTTTCCAAAACTGAAGGAAGATGCAAACCCATTAGTTTTAACAATTAGCATGCTTAAAAATAATAATGCCACCTAGAAAGTCTGTCTAGAGCAAGCACAATTTAGTATTTCAGAAATCTGGAACGAAAAAATTCTTGTTTAGCATTTCACTGGGTGTGGGGCCAGTGAGGAAGAGACCACTGGGGTTCACATCTCAGTCCCAGCATACCGGCGACAAGAGCCCTGAAATATATTTTAAAAACAAAATTGCAAACTCATGCCGATCGCAACACAACGCAGTCCTTGCAGAGCTACATCAGAATTTGGTCCACCCGTTACATGGCTGCTCACCCATGGGAAGAGACCAGCATTGGATTAAGAGGGAGATTTACAGCTCAGGACTTTGGTAGCTCTGGTCGGGAACTGCAGAATTCAGTCATAGTTTCATTTCATTCTAGAAATATTTTAATTTATAGCATGTGTTATCAGATCCAGACAGTGTTAAACTGCTCATTTTACCAAGTTAACATTTAGTGTCCATGTACATCTTGCCCAAACTCTGACGTGAATGCACTTATTGCAGATAAAATAGTTCAAACCACTTTCGAGTGACACAGATTACTCTGAAAGTGCTGAAGCAGACCAAAGAGTGGTTCATTTATTTTAATTAGCAGTCTGACACTTAGTAATTCATTTGTGTTTCCTGAACCATTTTTAGTCACAGTTGGTCCGTCAGCCACAGTCGGAAATAGAGCCGGGTCAGAATTGCTGTGTTGTGGTATGCCCTGGGTGGCCGTGGGAGGCTGGCTTCTGCTTTTACTGACTCCGAGGGGAAGGAATGCCAGTGTTCCAAAGGAGCACCAAGAGAGGAGATAGTTCTTAAAGTTTTAACTCTGCAAACCTATATGGCCATAGTAGCTACAAAGTGCAACCAAGTTTCATATTCCAAAAAAAGGTGCTGCCTGAAGGTATTGGAGTCTGGCAGGGGAGATGCTTAAAACTAAAAATAGCAAAGCCGTTTTTTTTCCACTCTTGAATGAAATAATGGGTTAAGTACTGCAAGGCTGAAAATGCCCTGTCTCCTGGGAACTTAGGAAGAGCAGATGAAAGATTTCAGTTTCTAAACTAATGCTTAGTGAAAAAGCATTATGAAATGAATACCCAGTTGTCCATGTAGTACATGACCCTACGGATATTTGCTGTCCCCACTGTAATGGCAGCATCACCTTACATAAATAAAATAAAGGGAAATAGAAAAATGGAATACAGGGAAAGGTGCTTATTTCTTGGGAAATGGATTCTTAATTTGCTTTATGTTTGATTGCAGCTGTCAGAACAGTTGCTGTTACTGAAAACAGTGAGCTGTTTTCCTGTGGTTGCCCAACCTGGGGCATGATCTAAAAGACCATGACTTGAGCAGAAGGACAGGTTTATTCATCTTCATTTAATGCAAATCAGTCAGATGGTAAACTACAATGGCACAGCTTGCTATTGGAAGGTTCTCCATAACACTACCGATTCACCCCTTGGTTTTACCAGTGGGAGTCATGATATTTTGATGACATTTCCTAGGAGCAGCTTCCCTTCTGAGATCATGAGATAAGAATAGGTATAAATTGTGCATTTAGTTGATCACGCCATTTGGCTTTAAAAATAATCCAGAGCGGGTCACATCGAGAAATAGGTACATTTTAGCTGCTCTTTCCTAAGCCATCTTTTCTGCCGTTCTTTTATCAAAAATCTTTACTTTTAAGGCATCTATTGCAAGCCCCATTTATGCTATGGCTACTGGCTTTCTGCCATGGATAAAAAATCAGAGTGATTTGTGTGGCATCATTCTGGAGGGAGTTTGCTAAAGATGGGGACTCTCTGGCATTGGAACGAGCTCAGCCTGCTTTGTCCCGTGAACACCTGTGACGGGACTGGACTGGGGTGGCTGGGCAAAACCCACCAGGGACCAGAGGGTCAAAAAGCCTTACCACCTTTTCCACAGATCCTCTGCAACCGAGAAGCATACTTCTAGGAGGAAGGCCGTACATTTGCAGTTTATAACACCCATAGGTAAATTTTGTCAGTAAAATCACATTTAATGCACTCGTAGCTTAAGTTGGCTCAGGAAGGGCTTTTCTTCCTAACTACCTGTGATTAAATGAGGTGAGAATGGGTGTCACTGGGGGAGGGAGAGGTGTCCAGTGGTTTGGATGTTATTGTAGGATTTGGGAGATTTACACTTAAATGCTGATTCTGGCACTCACTTACTGTTTGACCTTCACCAAACTGAAGGAGACCAAGATGCCTAGAGACACTTTGGTGTCTAGCACTCATTTGTTTAAAGTTCAATGAAATCAGCATTAGACTAAAATGCAGAACTCAAAAGCTTTCTAGGTAGCTTTGTTTTTTCACTTGCCATCTTTAAAATGGAGATGAAAGCACTTCTCTTTCCCACGGGAGTGGTGTGATGATGCATACATAGAAGGCGTAAGTGCTCGGAAACCTCAATAATGTCTGTACTCTTGTCCCATCCCTTTAGAGTTTTGCTATTTACCATCTGTATGTCTATTTATCAGTTGCTATTACATGCATCATAATTTCCTTCTCACAGGCTAATATTAATATCCCAATGGGAGCATTTCGACCTGGTGCAGGCCACCCTCATAAAAGAAAAGAACTTACACCTGAAGAAGTGGAGGAGGTAAGAAACAAAAGGGTTTTTTAAAATTTTTTCTCCCGGGAGAATCCCAGCCATTGATGGAAAACAGCCTTTTAGAGAAGTTATAGCAGTACATACCAGTCTGAGGTACTACAGCTGAACATACACTGATCATTCATGGAAATAACTGGCTGTCTACTTTATAGATGACTTTATCTCTACGTTGTTCTGGTTTTGATGCCAAGCCAACTATAGGAATTCAAAATGTTTCAAAGGTGTGTAGCTCTGCTTCGAGACCAGGATGATATCTGCTGTCAGGAAAGAGAGCCAGAGTTTCACCAGGAGTATTTATCAAGACTTGAATTTATGGGATACAGCAGGAAAAGTTACAGCAAAGCTGTGGAAGAATCTACTACTACCTGCTGCCTTGCACATGGATTTATTGTTACAACTTGACAATACTGGAACAGGTTTTCAAACCTGACACTTTTTGGTGTATTTGTCAACAAGTAGAAATTAAATGTGGAGACTATACCTTTGCAAATTAAAACCAGAAATTGTGAATCCATTTACCTGCATAGGGTGAAAATACTCTATTTTAGATTGACTTCTGTGTTTGCATGCCTGTATTTTACAGGGGGTATTTAACACTGAGTTTGGAATATGAAGTCCCAAGACTGATCACATAGGTTATGATTAAAATAGGTATCATATTTCTGGGTGGCATTAAAGCATTTTTTTTACAATAAACTTTTATAATAAATGAGAAACAAAACCAACAGTGGGGAACAAGGTAGTGGGATCCTCCGAACAAGAAAAAATCTCAAGTAAAGATGGGTGCTTACGGCTTCCTGGACAGCTGGCTTAGTTTGGATTTGAATCCCCAGCTGCGAACTGGTCCTGCTGAGCCAGCGCTGTGGATGCTCCCCAGAGTCAAGGGCAGGAAGGCCCAAATTGACCCACACAGCTTGGCTACCTCTGGCAGGACTCCGCTGGGTGGACTTGCTGCCCTGTGGGTGAAGTCAAGCTGTCGTGGCTGGAGGGAACCTTGTTCTCAGGCAGAGCAGAGCTGTGAGGATGATGAGGGAGGTGGGCAGCCACTTCTCTCCAGGCAGGCAGTGGCACTGCTGGTGGTTCAGCCCCAAACAAGAAGCAGCTAGATTAGTTTTGGACAAAATATGAGCTCCTTCTGACCAGGTACAAGTACTTAAAATGGTCAGGTTTGGTTATGTAAGAGCCAATTCCTCCTTTTCTGTTTAAATCAAACAGGTTTTTTTCTGAATTTCAGCATATTTTATATAAATAGTGCTCTGTTCACAGAAATCAAACCCAGGCTGACTTAACTCTTCTTAAAAAGATTGTAAAAAAACAAACCCAAACATACAAAGTGACCTTGAACACATATTGTGTCTTTCTCCCCTGGAAAGAAATCAAAGCATATTCTCTATGCAGTAATTAAACTGGTGAAGGAATGCATGTTATTAAGCAGAAACTAATATAGCATGTGTGAATTCTGGCAGTATTTGAGATATAAAATAAATGACTAGTGCTGATAATTAGGTTTGGTTGGGTAATTGAATATTGCTTTGCTTCTCAGTGAATACTATGTAGGTGAATACCATGTATGTGAATACCATGTATGAGACAGACATTACAGAATGAAAGTTCTCGGCTCTGGTTTTATAGCCAATATGCAAGCAAAGCAATGGTAGTAAATACTACAAAATCAGATCTTATAATAGGAATAGAATAAAAATGCTACCACTAGACTTACCTTTTCATCTTTCCCATTCAGTTTTGCAATACAACTTGTGATTCTTTAGATCAGCTTTAGACAAATGCAACTTTTGCTAACAGTGCTTAGCACTTTTCACTGTATTTCAAAACCTTGGCAAAGGAGGTGAGGGAAATATGGATCTTACTCAAAGGGATGGTGGAGCCAAAAGGGAAGGTGTATTTTTGAAGGCCAGCGGAGTGGACATGTTAACATGCAAAAGAAATGGGTGGTGGGAATTTCAGAAAATAACTCTTCTTCAGTCAGAGCATTTCCATGCATGTGTTTGTTAACTCTTGTCATATGTCTAAGTCACTCTTCAGAATTCCTTCAGTAAAACCAAAGGCCAAGGTTTGATCTCAGCTCTGCATTGCATACAGAGTGGGTGATACAGGGAGGAGTGCAGCCATAAATAGTGTACACCTGAGATTAGAAGGAAAGATAACATAATTTTATGGAGCGCAAGGCCTCCAAAACATGGTGAAAGTTTGCACCATTTGTACTACAAGAAGAAATGGTATTGTAGATGACTTGAAGCAGTACTTTTCACACAGTGTCTGCTGTGAGTATTTGAGGGATGGTAGTTTTTCATGAGCATTCAGGTTAGCTAGCTGTGCAAGAAGACTGTCAAAGGAAACAATACAAGCCCATGGCACCTTTGACTAATTTTGTGCATCCCTTCAAACACCTTCTGCATCAATTTATTTGTTCTTCTGCTGTGCTTTGCTGCTGTTCCAGGATGTTAAAACATTAAGCTAGATATTAGACAATATATATAGTACCTGGGCCTGGACTACTGACTGGGATTTTAAATTATCAAAATAGAAACAATAGTATGATGTTATTAGTATTATCTTGTATTAACTAATAGCATATTAGCTAAAAAGTGAGGAAAGATAATACAACTTTACTAAGCCAAGCTATATAATTGTTGCTTCAGTTTTCTTGTATGTGGTAATCTCTAGAAAGTTAGTAAAGATCAGATAAGAAGAAAATATCAGTTTTCTCAAATTCCTTGGTTTTTTGTTACTTGTCATTGCAGAAAGTCTGCTTCCTGATTAGCATGTAGCCCATTTGTTATCAGAAAAAAGAGGGGTTTACAGGCCAATAATAGTTGACAGATAAATTTGAAATTTTAAAAATTAAGTAAAATAGTAAGAATTGATGGTTCACAGTCAATAGACCTTTCAAAAAAAGCTGTGTAATAAATCTAAATACTGAATTAACTCATAAAAGCCCATCCCAAAAGGGGATTTTTGTAAAAAAAAAAGAAGAAAAAAAAGTGAAATTATTTGCAGTAAAATATTTATTAATCTATAAACCTATATTTATATATATTAATAAATCTATAATCTAATTAATCTACATGATTCTCCCTGTATGTCACCTTTATAAAATACAAACAGGCTGGAACAACTTTAAACTCTCTACTGGAAAACTATTCCTTCAAAACATTGCTTGGTCTAGAATAGTAATTGTCTACAATACATGCTGAACCTCACCTAGGAGCAATAGTACAGCTGAGGAAGTACCTAGGGCTGAAATACTGTGGTCCATGGGGAAATAAGATGCTCGCTATTGTGTAAGTTCTGTTATTTAAGCTGTCAGGTACCACCTTAATTGTAACATAAAATGACAAAAATCTTTCTGGTCTTACAGCTGAGGTTAAGAAAAGTCAAACATCATCTTGAATTGAGCTTGGGCAGAGCTTTTGGTGTCCATAACCTACTATCACAGCTCTTCTCCAGACCTGCAGAACTGCATGAAGGTTTTTGTCCCCAATTGGCCAACTATGAGAATCTGAAAGAAATTAAATGATAAAAATGGTTCTCCTGGGTTTTTTTCCTTAAAGTATGAGGGATCTGGTAATTGCCTTTAATGCTCCACTCAGTTAATTTTCCACTAATGGTCTGACACTGTAAATTCTTATTCATTTACAACAAGGTCTACATTCCTCTGCACTGAGCACCTGAATTTATTTTTTTCAGAATGTTTTTAGACAACAACCAACAAAATAATCTTTCTCTTCCTGCCCTCTTCCCACTGCCTGCCCTAATTTCTGTTGGGGTTGCATTTAGTGTAAAACCAACCTTTCCCGTTTCTCAAATAACTGACCTATACTCATACTCAAGAGATTGCTATTGCAGCAGTAAGGTCACTGGTATCCTTCTGTGCAGAATCTTCCTGCTTCGACAGAGGAGGAGAGAGACAAGAAACATCTCCCAGGAGCTAAGAAACTTCCAGGTCCTGCTGTCAACTTGTCAGAGATTCAGAATATAAAGAGCGAGCTGAAATTTGTCCCCAAAGCTGAACAATAGCTGGAACAAGCAGGTGAGTAAAGAGAGGTTCTTTACATCGCTCTAGGAAAAGCAGGACGATCCAGAAACCTCTTTGTATCAAAAGATGGCTTTCCAATTACTTCAAAGGATCTGGAATCCCACCCCATATCTCAAAGACAAAGTATAAGAAGAAAAGGTCATAATCCTTGGAATTCTGTTATTTCAAACATAGAGCATGTAGGACATTATATGTGATGACATATGGCACCCATTAAGCAGCCTAACACAAAGATTATTCAGCTGTTAGGAACATTGAAGCTAGCTTAAAAATACCAGATTCTTGCTTCTCAAGAACAAGTTCCAGTTTTACAAAATACAGAACCTATATTTGTACACACTAATTACAAATAAAGGTATTGCAGCACAAATTTATTGCAGTGATGGACAAGTAGGTCAGTAATTTTAAAAGTTCCTTTGGAACATTAGATATTTGACACTATTTAATTTCTGTAATTCAAAACTATTATGGTAGTGGCCCCATGTATTTCAGCACACAAACACACCCAATGCCACATGTGGCACCCAGGGACTTGCTGTGTATCTGCATGGGGCTTGTGTATGAACTTGGGGATAACTGTGCTCCTGAGGCGTGGCAGCTGGAGACCAGGCAGGGACACTCAGGCACTGCAGACAGCAGCAGACACTTATGGGCTACGATAGCACCACAGCTCATACTTCATCTTATTTTGCTCAACGTCCAGATGTAGATCCAGACAAGTGATATCACTCAGGGGTCCGTACTGGGACCGAAACTGTTTAATATCTTCATCAATGACAGTGGGATCAAGTGCACCCTTAGCAAGTTTGCAGCCAACACCAAGCTGTGTGGTGCGCTTGAGATGCCTGAATAATGGGACGCCTTCCAAAGGGAGCTGGACAAGCTCGAGAAATGGACCCATGTGAAATTCATGAGGTTCATCATGGCCAAGTGCAAGCTCCCGTACATGGGTCAGGACAACCCCCAGTATCAATCAGGCTGGAGGATGAAGGGATTGAGAGCAGCCCTGAGGAGAAGGACTTGGGGGTACTGGTGGATGAAAAGCTGAACATGAGCCGGCAGTGTGCGCTGGCAGCCCAGAAAGCCAACCGTATCCTGGGCTGTATCAGAAGTGTGGCCAGCAGGTCGAGGGAGGGGATTCTGCCCCTGTACTCTGCTCTTGTGAGACCCCACCTGGAGTGCTGCGTCCAGCTGTGGAGCCCCCAGCATAAGAAGGATATAGACCAGTTGGAGTGAGTCCAAAGGAGGCCATGAAGATGCTCAGAGGGCTGGAACAGCTCTGCTATGGGGACAGGCTGAGAGAGTTGGGGTTGCCCAGTGTCAAGAAGAGAAAGTTCTGGGGGGACCTTATTGCAGCCTTTCAGACTTAAAGGGGGCCTATAAGAAAGATGGGGACAGACTTTTTAGTGGGGCTTCTTGCAATAGGACATGGGGTAATGGTTTTAAACTAAAACAGGGTAGATTCAGACTAGATATAAGGAAGAAATTTTTGCGATGAGGGTGGTGAAACACTGGCCCAGATTGCCCAAAGAGGTGGTGGATGCCTCATCCCTGGAAACATTCAAGGGCAGGTTGGATAGGGCTCTGAGCAACCTGGTTTAGCAGAAGATCTCCCTGATCATTGCAAGGGGGTTGGACCGGATGATCTTTAACAGTCCCTTCCAACCCAAACCATTATGTGATTATGTTATTTAAAAGGAAATATTCCGTACTTCAATGCAAATTTCAGAATCATTTCCACCTGATTCCCAACAAGGCCCATAAACCCCCGTTGTTCTACATTCTGAGCCTTAAAGATGTTAAAGATCATTTATGTCCATTAAATTATCCCCTGATTTTCCTTGGAAAGCCTGAGTCAGTAAAGATGCTTCAGACAGTCACAATGACAGTTCATGTGTACAGAGAAGTTTCAATAATAATAAAAACAAAAAAAAGAAAATGCTGGCTACAGTAAGTAAAGGATAGTTGTGTCACGTCATAGTCATCTGAATTGCCAGTTGTGCCTATTGACACAAGTTCTTTTTATCATGACGAAGGGCTAAGCTGAATAGAACATCATCTGGAATTTACTGCACCAAAACATTAAGAACAGAAGAAAACAGAAAGCAGTGCAACAGTGTTCTGGGAATGCAGAAACCCTGTGGACCAGGAATCTTAAAAGAAATGGCATATAATCTGAGAGAATTGCCCCAGTACACACTGCAACATTAACTTATTTTTATGTACAGCATAAATATGCTATTTAGAAGGAAAAAGTGTTAGTTTTTTCCTGCTTGTACCCTGCTGTGTCATAATGTTCCCATTATTTTAAAGAAACAACAGAGTCTTTCTCTTCAGAAAACTTGGGAAAAGGGAAATTAACTTTTGTAAAATGTAACATTGTAGTCATTACACTAAAGCAGTGCCCAGAGAAATATGAATTTTTTAATGTGAGGCTTTAAAGAGGTTTTTCTCTGTAGGAGATATTTAGACAAAAATTTAACCCCATATTTATTCTCAGATGATCACTGCTTTCAACATTTAAAACAGGTTTTTAATAATTAGCTTACTGAGAGGCTGACAGAAACATTTAGGGTGTGCACAGAGATTCACTTGGAAGCAAAGATTTCTACAGAAAGATCTGCAAAGTAAAAGGCATCTTGAAAGCTGTGAGGTCATTATGAAGTAATTTTTGTCTCCTTTTGATGTATTGGTTATCAAGTTCTGACAGTGACACAGATTTCTAGATTTTGCATAGCACAGTGACAGATGATATCTGAAAACTTAGAAGATTTGCATGCACGGTACTCACTGGACACCAGCAGTTTGGTTTTGGTTGCAGTGCAGAGCTAAGCACGTGCAAAACTGAGACATAAATCTGTCGCCACATCCAGCAGCCTTGAATGGTACTCAATCTAAGGATTGTCTCATACAGATGACATTTGTCAGCTCAGTTGTTCTAGGCATGATGTGCTGAATGTATAAAATGTGATAGAACCCAAACATGAGTTGCAGCAATAACTTTCTGTGATTAACACATACATTCAGGTGAAATTTCAATTTGTGCTCAGTTCCATTTTCAGGTACAACCACCATGCTAGTTAGCACATGAGATAGCACAACAATCACCAATAAATCTCAGCCATAGCAGGCTCCAGTCAGAAGTTAAATGTTTACTCCCATTACTTATTCAATAGGACATATATTCAGCTGTTTAGTGTGTGCTATTTTGTTAATGTTTTATTTTGCACATGTATTTTTGTGCATTTAGAAATATGCATGTGCAAAGGTAGTAGCAGAAAAAAATTGTAAATGGAGAAAAGGAAAATTAATCACAACTCATTTTGTATATTAAAACTAACTGCATCAAACACATCATCTACAGGTCTGTGGAAGAAAAAATACCTTTATAACAAAGAAGGATATGCTAATTATAGATGATAGACCAGCCAAATGGGGTGACTACAGGAGTATCTTAACTGATAAGCACTTTGACTGATAAGCACTTTGATCCACCATGACCTTCAGTGGATCCAGCTTCATGACTTCTCACTAATATCCCTCCCACAAACTGTTAGACTCTGAACTATGATTGAGAGTCTATCCATGTTTCCTTACTTGGTGAAGGAGCAAACCAAAGATATTTAGCAGAAGTTACTCTAAAGTGCAAATTATGTAGGAATGGGTTTGTAAATAATGAACCAACCTACTGTTTTGTGTCCTGAAGTGTGGGGGTTTGTGCAACAAGACTTTTTACAATGTACCATGACGGGCTATGGAGTCTGAATTCTGGCCTATGGTTTTAAAGGACCTAAACCTTCATCTAGAGTGGTCTCATCTTTTCCTCTTGAAGAGGCTTTAATACTTACTGAAGGAACATCTCAAAAGGCAAAAAGGGAAATTTACTGCCTTGAAATTACAAGAAAGTCTGTGGAGGACATATGGGCGGCTCTCCTGGCACTGTGTTCTGATCATGTTTGGAGAAAGATCTTGTCAGAATTCCCATCACAACAGTGATGAGATGGAAATAGAGCTCTTATATCCATACTTACAAGATATTCCTTGGTGCTGCTACTCATTATTAAAAAAAAAAAATCACAAAAAATGTCAATTGCCCTGAAATAAAAATACACATTATAACTTTGTCTACGAAGTACTGCAGATTTTAGTTAGTTTCATGCTATATACTGCTCTTAAGCTGCATCTCAGTTAACAATAGCAGTTTATCTCTCCTGGCGTCACTGCTCTGAGTCTGTTCAATGATTGTGGCTTATCCTATGTCTTAGTCCCTGCCTCTGTGCTCACATGGACCAGAGGGATACAGTTAAGCTGCTGTACAGTTACAAGCAAAGGTATTGCCATTTTCTACAGAAACACATGCAGTGCCTTGCTAGTAGAGCAGCTCTGACATGCTATGGCCTCTTGAAACAGCCTCAGTTTTAAGAAAATGTTTTCATTTGATTAAGCCCAAGTATCCAGTCCTCACATGAGAGAAGGAAAGTTTACATCCAGAGGATGCCAATGTAGGTCAGGAGCTTAGATCTCCTTGGCTGGAGTAGGAACAAAGGAGTGAAGAAGGAGAATGTGCATGCAAGAATTTCTGCAGGACCCTTTTGCCAAAGTCAGAGGATGCTCAGGGAGGATCTCATCAGTGTGTATGAATATCTGAAGGGAGGGTGCCCAGAGGACGGAGCCAGGCTTCTCAGTGGTGCCCAGTGACAGGACAGGGGCAATGGGCACAAACTCAAACACAGGAGGGTCCCTCTGAACATCAGGAAACACTGTTTTTACTGTGAGGGTGAAAGCCCTGGCACCAGTTGCCCAGGGAGGTTGTGGAGTCTCCATTCTTGGAGACATGGTCCCGGGCAGCCTGCTGTAGGTGGTCCTGCTTGAGCAGAGTGGTTGGACCAGATGACCTCCAGAAGTTCCTTCCAATCTCAACCAGTCTCTGATTCCTCCCATCAGCCATCCCTTTTTGGCCTGCGTTCATTTCAGAGTAGTT